CGAACATCCTTAGCTTTGAAGCACAACCCATCCCAAAACCGGAAGAAGCGCGCGCGCAAGAACAAACAGTGCGCTTAGCGCGTGTTGCGACCGCCGCCAATCGAGCACTACCAGAACGTCGGGGAGCCGGCCAAAGGTGAGTAATTTATCCTCGGGGTCGCCGTTAGGGAGTGCCATGGTAAGGAGACGAGGCCGAGGAATGATGATCCCACGTCAGCGGGTTGGTAGCCGGCAGAAGGAAACGAAAAACGATGCTGGGGAAACAGGCGCTAAGGAATGCTCATGACTCTCTGAGAAAAATTAAAAATCCTCTGCATGCAACGTGGCATGTATGATTATAATTAAAGCCCAGCAATTTCACTTACATGCACTGCAACGTGGCTTCAATAGCCCAAAAATCAGCTTTAAGGCTATTAAAAGTCTCCAAATACTTTGATTTTATGCTTGAAGGTTCAACGATGAAATGTGCCTTAACACCAGCTCTAATGAATTCGGAGTACCAATTTGAATAGATCAATCTAACGACATTTTGCGTGAAAGGGAATGCGTATCTTTATTCGCAGCTAAGACATGGCCATTTTCACAACGTGCAGCACTTCCAGAGCAAGTTATTTTTGAGCAGCCCTAGAGTACAGGATAGTTAAAGGTGCTCATTAAGCAGCCTTCGGAGGTGACAGCCAGCAAGCAGGTGCAGCTCGTCCTTGTCCGCGACAACACGTTCCCTCACCCGATCGTTCTGGTACTCAAGCGCCTGGGCCTCGGCCAGCCCCTCCTGGGTGCGCCGAACCGTTTCGTCTGTGTCGATAAGCTGCATCCTACGCAGGACGCGCTCCTCGGCCTCGCGCAATCGTTGCTCCTCCGCCTCCAGCCGCTCGGTCTCCACCCGCATGCGTTCCTCCTCCTCCTCTTGCAGCCTGCGGCGACGGCGATGATGAGCCAACAGCACACGGCCACCCTGCCAGACGATCGCAGGTCAGCCGACCGTCGGCACCGGCACGCCCGGCGAATACGCTCTGCATTGACGAACACGGGCATCCGCCGTGTTCAAAGAAACCCACTGTGTGGTCATGTGACCTGTGGCTTACCCATCGTACTTACGAAGCCGAAACAATTTTGTTACCTCGCTAACGACGCGGTAAGCTGGCAAATGTTCCTCGACGATATTGTTGCGACGCGTTGCTGGGACAAAACAATATCGGTCGCCCTTTATGAGAGAAGTACGACTGTTGCTCCAGAAGGAATCCGTCACTAACTTACCTGACAACATTATCATGTACCACAGCCGTTCTTGTTGGAAATGTGGTTTAGCTAACCACTCCAGATGCTCCGAGACCTGGGCGAATTTTATCAGTGAGGAACGGGCCTCTGGCGGTTAGCTGACCAGCGGTGAGCATCAGTGCAATCGTAGACTTCGTGCCAGTCTGCGGATTCCGTGTGTCTCATTCTTATGGGGGAGCCCGGGCGATGTGACCACCTCAGCCAGACCAAACGCGCTGACAGCTGGCTGTGGGTTCGCGGAGGCACGTGTGTATGCATACCGTGCTGCGGCAAAGCAGGTCGCTTGGGCCCTTCCTTATTCCGTACTCATCGTGGGGTACAGATGTATCAGATCACGGGGCAAGTGCTTGTGAAGTATGAGTGCACAGGTCTGGCGTGGGTCTGCCTTCCAGGACCTGGGCTGTCACGGGCAGACCGTTACTGGGATCGGGGAACGGCATACATGGTGTCTGGAACCAGCAAGTCATCTGGCGTTCTGAGAGTCAACGCTTATGCTGCTGCAGCGATTTGGAGCCGAAAGCCTGAAGCGACATTAAATATTAATACTTGTCTGAGAAAATGGTGCCGCTGCGGTTCAGAAAACGAGAGCTCTTTCAAGAACGCCGTCTAACCAAGGGCACCTTATTTCACATGCCATGATACTAATGGTGATATATAACCAGAAGCTGCGAGCAAGCCCTAGAGTAATCAGGATAAACGAGCCTGGCATTAAGCCCTGTTGCCGATGCATATAGAACGACTGGTAACGTGTCAGACCAACTGCCCCCTTCCACAACATAACTGTACGCCTAATTGTACACACTGAATGTCCTGAAATAATGGATTTGGTCACTCCACGACACATCGTCCGGAGGATAAGACGGCACCCTTCAGATTTGACGAAAACATGTGTATAACTCAATTATATGGCCAAAACACGGTTCCAAAGTTTTACACCTGTGCAGCATACCGATAAGGAACTGGGAGCGGATGAAAACACGTGATGACGTCAATAACTTTATTTTTCATCTCGCTGCACGAAAACACTTTACAGCGCATAAGGTTTGGGGAAATTTCACTGTAAAGCATAGCAATTATACCTTTCTGAAACATGGGTTAATGAACATTTAATGTCAACTGTTAACCTATACTCACTTAATTTAACATTTGATCTATTTGTTCTGGAAAATATCGTGCCTTCGATTTCTCAAAACTGATATGCAATTGAAGACCAATTTATCGCCGCCCAGACTAAGACAAAAACGTTGGGATCTTTTTTAGATCCGTCGCAAATCGAATTTCAACATTCGGGGATTCAGCACGGCGGTACGCAATGAGCCGACGGGCCAGTATCGGATGGACAGGTGCGATCGGCTCACTGCGTCAGAAACTGTGATCGGGACCTTAGAATCATCCGTTTCAATCTTGGTTAGAACCATTAACTTTCCAAATCTTCAGGAACCCTAGAACAATGTCTGAATGACGAGTGCGTGTTAATAGACCTCATGTACCTGTTGTCCCTCTCGAGCCGACGGGATGGCAATGTCGTGCGCTCCGAGTCCTCGCAGCACATCAATAACCACTATGTAGAGTCTAGCTGAAGCTCAACATGGGAAGAAGCAGAAGCGAACCACTGGTCTAAAGCTCCATTCGTTTGTTCTGATCTGGCCTGGAGCTAAGGAAAAGTGCTAGCCCAGCATGCCTAGAACCGCACACATGAACTTCCATACAGCACACATCCAAGCAGGCGCCGTCTTAGAGTAAATCAGGCCGGGGCCCAATTAACGGTCAGTGAGTGTATGGTCTCATTACAGGAAGGTCGGGAAAATAAAGACCTGCAGTTTTGTGTCTTTCATCAGGTGCCTCTAGGGAAAGTTCAATGCAAAGAATCGCCTGAAAAAAGTCGAAAAACGATAAAAAGAAATGCTTGCGTGGCGTAGTGGTAATACGATGAGTGCGGTACAAACCGTTTGCCATCATAACGAACAAGATTTGTTAGCTTGTTATGTTATTACAAATATGCTGAGCGTCCGTGCCAAGCTGAAAATATTTGTAGAGCGGTTTGACATGAAACACAAAGCAACAAGGAGTTTGCGAGAAATCACCGACAGTTCTCTATAGAACTCCTCTTTAACGGGTGTCATAGACATTGGGGATTAATCGCAACCAGCTTGTTATAAAGAGCACAGTAATCCACCATTTCGAAAAATGATGCAAACCCGTCAACGAGTGGGTATGTCAGAGCCACATAATCTATGGACACAAATCCCGATCAACGGCAGGGTCGAGCTCAGCCAAGGAAGGCCGAGACCGGAAGGATCGAAAGATCATGGTCTCGCGATTGCTGATTGATTCATGATCATGATTCCCACGGTCCTAATTACAGAACGCACCCTGGAGCAATTGCATACAATAGTAGCCACGCTGTAAAATTGCCGTTCGTTCATATGATAACAGATAAACTTCTTTGTCCATGCAATTGCTCAACAGGCGGAATCAGCCCACGCCTGCGTGTGTTAAGCGGGTACCGCAATCAAATGGTGGTATATGAATGCATTACTTTGTACCGACAGCACAATTCGTTCACATCTTTGCAGTTTACTTACCGGGTTGACGACGGCACCGCGCTCGTCAATAAATTGTTCGCCGTTTAGGGGACCATGGATGTAAGAACAGAGCGGCCAGGTGGAGTCACGCCGCCCCCTTCCCACTTTTCAGGGGGTCAGCGATGGTAGCTGCTCCCCCCCCCACTTTTTCAGATTTAGGTTTTGTTTAGCTTACATTTGTACTTCTTTAAACATGCATGCCCACATTTACCTAGTTCACCAGTCATCTTCCCCAAGTTGCACTGGACACAATTACTCTATGTGGTAATGGCAGAATCTTATCCCATCATGTACGGCGAACAGATATATTTAGGGTCAAACCCAAGGCTACTTTAGTGCCAAAGGTTCCGTTTTGTCTGTTTATGTAGCCTTAGTTCTTCTGCGTGACTACTAACAATCCCCTCAGCGTATGTTCATGGTGTTTGAAATGGTATGATGTGTTCCTCAAGGACCCCAGACCGACCAGGGGCCCCGGCCCCGTGTAGCCAGAATAGCAGCCGGAATGCACTAAGCGCTGGGACGGAGTGGCCCTTCAACCCTGGACCGGTAAGGGTAATGTACCCCCTAGCGTTTTACTCACCTGCCCCTTGCCCTGAAAGCGTAACGGGTTTCAGAGTGTTGAATTACGTGGATCGAAATGAGGTTAAAAATGAAAAAGGCCAACCCACGTTCGCCTGAAACGTTCATTCTTTCGCAAAATCGATAAGTGAAACAAATGGCATAAAACAGTTCCACACCCTGTACGCTCGCAATCTCAGGGGCAAGAGAAAAGATGGCAGGGGCTGCAGTTTCGTCAAACCGACTAGCGTCGGCTGCTGCAGGTAGCACCAGGTGCCGGGCGCCGTGCGCGCAGGAACGACCGTTGTAATATAATGCTTCAAAAATTCTCAAAATATACTGAAACCACGCAGATTATGCCGGGCCGTATGTTTTTAAAACAATTTTGAGGATGTCTTTTGGTCATACTAACAGCTACACCAACGCGAAAAACGGAGATTTTATCTTTAATCTTACAATTTTGTCACCAGATTCCAGCGCCCCTTTCCGGGGACGTGAAGTCTGATCCATCCCTATTATCAACTCAAAAACCCCACAGGTGAAATACACCCGGACTACCGTGTATATGCACGAAGTCATGTCTCTAAGCGCTCAAGAACGCTTCTTTCAGAGACGCCATCTTTTCGTCTGCTCGTTGGCCACCGTTTAACGTCAGCCGCGGGCCGACGCCGCGCCGCCTGTGGAGACCGCAACGCTCGGTGTAAAGGTTGTTGCAAGTTTGGTGATGGCGCATGTTCAGAACCATGTTACATAATTTGTCTCAGTAGTCGATTCCGACTGAATATTGAACGTTTCCAAACGTGCATGGGTTATCCATGTCAATGCAAATTTTTGACATCGTTTTGCTCTAAATCTATATGCAGGGGCCCACAATATCTCTGAAGAACACAGAAAAAATCAGGCAAACCTTTTGGGTTCTATTATTCAAGAAAAAGTCTCCTGAACTAATGTAAAATGAAGATCGCCAGTGATTTACTCCACGCGGTCGTTAAGCACCAGATTTCCGCAGTTTATAGACTTCAAAATGCAAACAGTTGATCCAGCGATAGCTGCTGGTTTGTTTCTGTTCTGGTTGTGTGACAAAATAACAATAAACGTCAAACAGTGCGCTTCGATAACAAGCCAGCTATATCCGGCAATTGCAGATTGTGGGGGAGAGGCTTTCACCTCAGGGGCCTTTGTCAATCCGGCGCCCCCTCCCCCCAGAGCAAGACTCGTTAAAAAGTGGGCTATATTCGGCGTTTTTTTTTAGGACAATCACTATCAGGGAGTTTATATCAACCCTGTGTTCACGTTAGCTAGGCTCTGGCCTTGCCCATATCCACAAAAGCGGATCAAGGCGGCTTCGTTAAATAAGAGGCAAATAGGTGCCGAGTAGACTAGATCATGTCTAAGGCAGGCGGCTTCCTGAAAGCTTTTTGTCTACCGTGATGTGGTTGTAACGGAAGGTAATAGGGAAAGAGGTTACTGTGGCAAACGCCCAATGTATGTTTTACACACCAATAAAAAGTGAGGTTAATCCATAAGCATGCATCAAAGCAGTCATACGATCAGTTCTGGACGGTGGGGGGGGGGGGGGGGGGGGGGGGGATGGACCGCCGGGCCAGGGAGTGGCCGTGGACGGTGGACGAGAGCAGGACTCAGATAAGGAGTATCTGAAAGAAGGTTTTCATTCGGTGGCCTGGGTTCTTAGATGAGAAATTCTGGTCTCATGGTCACACCGTTTATGGCAGCAAGTTTTTTAAGCCTCCGAGCTGGTTTCCGCTTAAAATTATAGAACAAATTTTATCTATTGAAAAGCAGGCGGCAAAATATAGGCGCATGAAAACTCTGGCGTGCCATTGGCCATTGAGTTGTATTCGAAATTATGACCAGGCTGTGCCCGGGCCGTATTTTGGTATCTACCCTAAGGGGCAGATGCCTCCCCAATAACCCTAAATGCCTACCCGCTTGTGCAACTTCGCATTCCCAGGGAAACCAATATTAAAATGGATGCATAATCTTGGGAAGCTGGATAGTCTTACTTGCTGAATGGTATAGATGAGTCGAATAAGCAATGTCGTGCACCAGTGGGAAACAGCTGCGGATGTATACCTAGCATAGCAGCCGTGACATTGAATTATTTCTAGAATGTGTTTTGTGAATTACGAGCGGACAAAATCCTCCATCCCTAACCCCACCCTCCCCCAGCCCCTCGTTAGCGGGCCTGTCTCCCAGAAACGTGCACCACGAGTCTGCCTTCCCACTTTTTGAAACGTCCCTACGTTTATACGGGGGCCTGGTGAAAACGCAACGGCTCAAGAAGGGAGGAGGAAGCTCAGTGCCATCTCGAAGCCTCGACGGAATGTTGGTCCAATGCCCACCAACTTTTACTTACCACTTAAGACCCAGTCCTTTACTTTACTTTACATCACTTACCGTGTACCGTGACTTTACAACCACTTAAGACCCAGTCCAAGGATACCACTGGAAAACCCCTCTCAACAGCATGGAAGCCAACTCAACAGCATGCCTCGATTTGTAGCATGCTTCAGAACAGTCTGTGACCTGGTCAGTGAAATAATCTGCAACATATGTGATGCTTAAGTCATTCAACGGCCGTAGTATTGACTCGCCAGGAAAAGACGCTCTCCATGCTGAAAAGTTCTCATCAAGTGGAAAACAAGTGCATTGCTTTACCTATTGCTGCCTGCCCCAACATGAAACAAAAATTGTCCCCGCAACAAGTGCTCCCACGCTGAGGATTTGGGCCTATACGTGTATTGCCCGTCCCCGCGAACTTCCATGAGAAATGTTCATGCATCGAAGTCGGGCGACGTTGAACGTCTGACAGGATATGCCAAGTTGTTTAGTCCAGAATAGGATCGTATCCTTATGCCATATGATCGTTTCGCAGCTGCACCGACCACATTGCTGGTTGGTGAATACGTAAATTATGGACGCACCTGATGAAATTGTCTATTGTCTACCATGCACATCAAGGAGAGGCACAAGTTTGTGCGTTTCATTCACGATTCATCTGCCAGGCATATGTGTACACGTACTTCTCATCTGGATGACAGGTGATGAAACCGAAAAACAGCGCAATGTTTATAATATAGGTTAAAAATGCAGGAGTGCTGAGAGGAACGCACAGCTACAGCTGTCATCAACCCTGGGGAAACACATCACAGTTGCAGGTAAATCAATGAGCACAACTACTCGAACATCCGAAGTAATGCCGCGATGGATTGAACGCAGTACGAAACATCCATTGTCACAACATGGTTGTGACAGGACCCACGGTGCAGAACAAACAACCAGGGATTTGAACGTGTTCGTTTTGCTTTTTGTATTCACATTACGTAACATGCACAGATGATCAATGGCATAACTTGCTGCCATAAATGACGAGTTTGGGACTGGTGATATACATATTGCTGCACGTCGTTAACGAGTGACTTGGCTATCTATCTACGTGACTTGGGATGTATGACAGATACGTAAGGTCGATGACGATACATTCTTCAGTTATGCGCTGTTCTAAAGTCCTAGCTGGTTTCAGGGTGACGATCACAATTCTCAACGCAGATCATGCCAGCCACCCGATATACCCGCCCGTCAGCTCATGGCATGCCGCCGTGCGTGATCCGCTGGTGTTCAAATTCGATAGGGGACCAGTCTAGGTGAGATGCCACCAAATTCTTTTTTCAGATTCTTCAGTGATTCTTTTGATTGATCCTTTTGAGTCGATCAGATTCTTCTGAACTTTCTTTTCAGGTTCAGATTCTTCTCAGATCTGAACGACAATAAATCGGTCTTTAGTTCATTAATAACTTTTTAGGATATTTGTGACGCCATGTTTTGTTTAGAAAATAAGGTCAAAGGTCAAACTAGGCTACAATAAGTACTTAGATGACATTAAATGTCATGCAACTCATATTTGAAAAATATAGGTATTTAGCTTTCCCATTAATTTCTTCATGCAATATGCTCCGCTAACTATTTTTGTTAAGCAACCAGGGTTCGCGACGACGTCACCTACTTTCACCTGCTCCTGCTTGTTTATCGGTACGCCATACGGCTCTTTTAACTCTCAGAATCGTGCTTTGGCAGTATATTTACCCAAGAAAACACGTCTCGCCAAATTTGGACGGGGCCATGCTTAAATGCATCTATCCACGGTCGATTGGTCGTGGAATGGTCTTTTACATACAGACAATCTGGGCGTGACATTAGGGAAGCAGAGCGGTACTTCCTCACTGCTTGCGCTTCAGCACACAAACTTTCTTTGCTTACGATGGTCAATTAAACGCTGCTGGTGATGGAGATAGGCATCAAATCAATATTGCAGAAAATCTTATAAATAGATACATTTATTCCCGATATATTTACGCCATTCATTGTTGAGAACCAGCCAGGCTAAAAAATAAGTGAGATTAAATATAACGGAATCCACGTGGAAACGAGACTCCTTGTGGTGCAGTTAGCGAGTCAGGTAGCCTAGAATAACTGAATGCCAGTTGTCAGGTGGCCTGGTTAAACTGAACGCACCCAACTCAAGACCATTCCGTTTGTCCCGACACACCATTGCCGCAGTCTTTTATCCAGTACCCAACGCAAATATGACACAACCCGTATCAAAATACCGTCATGATATTCACTAAGTCACATTCTCACCGACTGTACGCACAGTGGGCTGAATATGACACCTGCAATACATGGCGAGACCCTCCGCCCGCAGGTGATCAGTGGGCACAACACCAACCAGAACCGCCGAGCATCACTCGCATTTGTGCTATCAATACACTTACAGGAATATTGTCCATAACGAGTCTCCCATCCGTAAAGGTCCACTGCGTCCTCTTGTCTGGCACACCCCTGACAGTGGCACAGTTACAGACACACGCATCATCTGTACAGCGACCCCTCGGTCCAGAAAACAGCCCATCTACAGTTGGCCAGTGGTGCGCATCACGAGAGGATCGGCCGGAGTCAGTGACTTACCGGGCCTCTTCTGCCTCCCGCGCTCTCCTTTCCTCCTCCTCCTTCTTTAGACGCTTCCTCTCCTCCTTGGTCAGCTTCTTCTTCTTTTCCTTTTTATGGGCCTGACGATACGAAGTGCAACGTCACACTTAGAGTACTTAACGGGCTGGGTACCCATGCGTAACCAAGTGAAATGGGTAATGGGCTGGGTTGGTAAATATTTTGGGAAGATTGCGAGTATGAGTACGGCTATGGGTACGACGTTTGCAAAAAAAGTATGGGGCTTTGGGTAGCAAGTGAACAGAGTGAAGGAAATACAACACCCATGAGGCCTCTAAGACACGATTCAGGCGTACATAACGGGATTTTGGCAAGTTAGTAAATGAATACATCGTCTTGATGCTTGTATGTGGTGCTCCTGTCTGCCGGTCTCCATGCACCCCACTTCCTGGCTACCCACGAGGTAACAGAATGTCACGTACCTGGGCGTGGGGACTGGAGCTATGGCTCGCTCTGGCCTAGCAGAATGTATTTGTAGGCTCAAGTTCTGATGTGGTTTAGCATGATAGGGATGCTGAACCCTTTCGTTCCGTGCAAGCTCGACTAGACCCGGATTGTTATCCCAGTGCGATTATTCATAAAACATATCCTGGGCAGAAGGTGCCACACGATGTATCATTTCCGATGAAGTAATTCACAAGTGGTCATTTTAAGCATTTGATTGAGCGATCTATGGCATTGAACTTGAATAACATTAATACAAACATAAGAAATGTGAGAAATCAAAATTCATCCCTTCCTTCGTCTTTTTGAAGAACTTTTCAACGAAAAAATCCTTAATTTAACAAACAAACGCAGTTGAAATCGGGTCAATGCATTTGGTGTCATTGACCTACAAAGTCAAAAGTACCGGGAGGAGCAACGTTTCTAAATAGGCGGTGATACGTACTGAAAATATTTCGAAATGCTGTCTTTCTTTCATAGTTATGGCTGTTCCTTCTCGTAAAATAATGTACGTAGAAATGTAAGTGGCATGCCAAATAATTTACCTTCGTCTAGGTCAAGGTCATGCAACGCCATCGAGTAAGGTTTAGCTGTAATTTTTGTTTTTTAGAACTGTTGAGTGGTAAGAAGTCAATTTGCAACTAAAGTGCTGTGTAGGATTGGTGCATGAAAATGAGGGTGAAATGTCGCTCCTGTTAAGAAACCAAAGCACAACCATGTACTCGACCAATTTATTCTATAAAGCACAGGTGCCAAACTTCCCAAGGCCTCCCAAGGCTGTGCTGCCCGCCTCATCATTCTACCAAGAAGCTTTCGTGGACATAAGGGCGGACTAGCATGAGGTTATCCTCCGCCAAACAAGCGATCCTTTGGGATTCGCACCACCCGAGAGCAGCAATGCAGCTGCCGCTCAATATAGAACTGTCTGCCGGCCCCACCGGTCGTTCTTTCCCATGGCGTGCTATGGGATAATTTAGCTGTTCGCTGACCAGCAATGTGGTCGGCACCGTTGCGAAGCAAACATATGGCGTCAGAATCTGATCCTATTCTGGGCTAAAAAATTATCACATACTGTCAGAAGTTTACCGGTGCCCTCCACTTCAATGCATGAGCATTTTTCATGAAATGTCGCAATGACGTGCAGCACACATATAGGCCCAAATCCTCAGTGCAGGAGTACATGTTGAGGAAGTAGCTTTTATTTTCTACAGGGTCAGGCAGCAGCAAGTAACGCAATGAGCTTGTTCTGTACTTGGCGGAAGCTTTCAGCATGGGTAACGCATTTTCCTGGCGAATGCATACTGCAACATCGGCACCGTCACGGAAAACTCGGACGTGCTTGAAGCTCCTTGAAAATGCTAAGGATATCGCAAACCATTCAAGTCTTGTTTGAAAAGTTCGAACGGAATTTTGCTTTTCGAAACGTTTTTGCTGACAGACGTTTTACCAAAATTTTCACGCACCATAGGCGCAAAAAAAAAATGCCTGAGACTTGTTCTGGTTCCCGTTGGGAAGATTAATGATACCGACGACCTAATTCCAGTCTGAATAGTTTGGTGCTTGAGGAAATGAAAAAAGTGTGGAGGCTGTTATGACTATATTAAGCGGCGCCAACACAAAAACGGATCCCAGTAACATTTAACGGATGGTTACGCCGATGAAATGGGGGCAAAATTTGTAAAATTCGGAAACAGGTGTCAGGCTTTTATTCAAACGGCGACAGACGCTGAAGTAAAAGCAGTAATGCGTGCTAGCCATGCACCAAAATGCGCAACGAAAGACGAGTTGAGGTTTTGTATGAAATGGGTGATAGGTGGGATGGGATCTTCGGTCTTCTTCGGCCATAACAAATTGGTCGAAACACAAATCAGGTAACCGCACCAACGGCGACAAATGCTTAAGCCTGAGCCGGTATATGGCAAATATAACAATAAAACAAATTGCCCTTTTCACCAAATTTCAAAATTAAGTGCACGAAATTCGATGAAGAGAAAATGATCAGGGAGAATTGTAGGGTTAATTTGTCTTTGCTCCCCCCCCCCCCCCCATCAACACATGACCCGTTCCCGAGCCCCTCGGCCTAGCCAATATTGGGGGAGGAGGGCAGGCTCCCACCAAAGAACACAAGTCGACACCCGTGCATTTGGCCACAGCTATGCATCTGCGTGGCTGGGAAGGCGTCGTTTAATTCCTTAAGCTGTCCCAGGGGATCAGCGCCACCACTGACGTACTTATTCCTGCGTGAACTCATTCCGGGGTGTTCGTGTCTGGCTACCTGGTCCGCACCGCAGGTTTGATCGCACCGGCACTGCATGCGCGCCCAAGTCAAATGGTGGCTGATTACCGTGTAGGTATATGGGCGCCCCATCCTCGCACCAATGCTTCTCCCAGCCCTGATGAGGGTTGAAAATAGCTACATCTCAAAACAACACGAATGCTCCATCATTCCGCTATTGTACCTCCCCCATCCGTGTAGGCCAAAAACATCTGGAAACCATAAGCTCACCAAGTCGCTGTCGGTCAATCGCTTCTTCCGTTTAAGTTCGGTTGATCTCGCGCCAGAGCAGAACGTTTTATCTGTATCTACAACTCAAAATACCACGTATGCTCGATCAATCCGCTCTGTTGGCACCTTTCCCAGCTTGACAAGGCAAAAGCATGCGGGGATAAAAATAGGCTCACCATATCGTCGTTCAGTCGTTTCTTCCGTTCAAGTTAAGTCAATCTTGCACCAGGGCAAAATGTCTCCACTGTTGGTCTTAAATCCAGAGCTAATGGAGGGATGACTACAAATGCAATTAGTTTAATTATACACACATTTGAGAGCGCCCGTATCCCATCACGCTCTCAAATGTGAACGATGAGAACCGTGGCTGGATCGCGAGAAGCCACCAACAGCTATCCCTTTTTATACAAATACCGTAGAACGTAGGAAACGACATTGTTGTGGGTAGTTTTTATTACCAATATTAATGCGATAAAAGTTAACTTTGTGTTGTAAACTCAATGACCTGTTCATTTATCACTATACGGCCTTCCATGCAGGAATATATGAATTAAATGTCAAATCACACTGAGTGTGAAAAAGAATAGCAACGCCGGCTGCCATATTTAGCGCAGCTACGACAATGTGGTTATGGGGGAGGGGGACTTTGTGCGTGGATGCGGCTAAGCTAATAGATTAAAGGTGCGGGAGGTGCGGGCTCGAATTGCGGGGGTGTAGGAAGCGACGCTTGGTGGGTATGCTCTCCTGCTTCTGTAATACACGGTGTGAGGACCTAGGTAATCATGCAATCACTGGCCAAACGGTTTAGCATCAGGCTTTTAGTTTCCTATTCAGTTGGGGAGGCTCCAGCCCCCCCCCCCCCCTCCCCCATCATGGGCTTCAGCTCCCCCCAACTTAGGTTTCAGCCCCTAACCCAACTTGGTGTTCAGCCCCCCCCCCTCCGCCAACTTGGGATTGAAGGGGGAAGTCTGTTTGTCAGCATGTGTTAGGGCAGGTAGGGTAATTTAACTGTTAACCCTCTCCCCCAATTCAGTTTGGGTACTATGCCCTTGTTTGGCATTCATATAGAAATCTGGCAAGGCTGCTCGAAGTTTACTCTGCAGCATTTTCATCTTGAATATCAGACCCTGCTGTGGCATTGCCATCATAGATGATATTTGCCCTTGAGCATATTAAATATTGCATGATTGGTGGTGATCAGTTCATTAGGACATCACTAAACACATTGCCTATCTATTAATGCATTTGGTTGGTGTTTTTATGTTGATGATGATGCTTTTGCTATGGAGCTTCATGAAGTAGAAGAATTAGGAGAGTTCAGAGTTTTGTAAGTCTTAGTGTCAGGACAGGGAAATGTACATGTAAAACTCTTACATGTTAGTTACATGTTACATGTTAGTTACATTTCAGTCCGCAGTTGTACACTCCTATAACACAGTCTATAAAAATGGGATGCTGCTAAGCATCTGCAGCTTGAACTTGCTCATATGCTGCTATGAATAAATATCTTACCAAAAAGTTTGGGTGAATTGCTGCCCATTTTTGCAAAAGTACTATGACCGCATTTGCTCTAGTACAACTTATATCTAATGTCTTCCAGTCATGGCTCTCAACATGTTGGTTTTGTGTAAATGCCCTTTTTACCTGCACATGACTTTTGATTCCTCTACTTGTTACTTTCATTCTCACATCTGGATGTGAGTGTAACCATGATTTATTGTAAATCTTCCACATTCTGCCAGCTGTGATTTAGAGTTAAGTCCAAGTTTTGCATTTCCAAGTTGCATCCATCATGCAAAGATTGAAGTGGCATCAGTCAAGGAGTGAACAGACCTTCATGTCTAGAAAGGTATGGATGCCAATCATTTTGGGTATAGGCCATTACCACACACCCTGCTGGGGTGGTCCCATTTTACCCTAAAGGCATAGACAACATAGTTGTTTGATGTGAAGTGTAGCTGCACCACACTTTGCATGACTTGGGTAACTGGGTAGCACATCTTTTGGTATAAAAAATGGAATGCACCTTGTAAAGCTGTCAACCTATGGTATGCCAAAGTCAGTTGTGGCTGGCAGCAAAAACATTTTGTAGGGAACTGTTCAGTCTGATGCACAATGTAGGGTTTGATGAAGCCAGAGGCCTCTGAGATCATTTTGTAGGCCAAAAAACAATTCAATTTGGAATTGCAACATAATCTATTGGCCTAGGGTCAGGTATGAAGGTAAGACTGCAGTGAAAGCCATCATGCCATTGTACTTGGAGAGTTGAGAAGATATCCCCCCCCCCCCCACTACCTAATAAAAGGGTAGTTAACCAGTCACCCAGATGTGTTTGTGTTAAAACTGTAAAACTCTGCGCTGCCTGTGGGGCCACATGGCGACCTAAAAACATTGAGGCTCCTCTGATCCCTCACTGATTGCATTTTGGGCTCCAACCTTCGGGGGTATTGGCATATCCTCTTTGTGAAGGCCCTGTCCCTCCACCCCGGGATGGATTTACACCTGATGTCTGGTTTAGATGCTCCTAGTATTTTTGGCTTAAAGATTGCCAAGGCATAGGGTACAAAGCTAACTATTGCATGACATTTTACTTTGTGGCATTTCTCTGTACCCACGTAGGGTCCGCTGGGCAGTAGGGATAGGTCTGCTTAGAGACCATCGCGCCAGGTACCACCAGGTGGCGGGCAGCTGCCCGGACGGCGTTGCGGCAGCAAGGTGCACTCGAGCAAGCACGGAAGCGGCTGGCGGCCCTGCCGGGCGATTTTTGGCAACTCCGGCAACGGACCCCCGGCAAATTAAATCGTACAAACTGTTACAAACGTAGCACGTATGCATGTGCGTGCGTATGCCAGAGCTGTACTGACCATGTCATCGCTGTTGGGTCCCAATGTCAATCATTATGACGCGCAACTTCGGCTAGATTGCCCCAAGTTCATCGAGAGACCTTCCTGCACGATAGATGCAAGACGGGCCAAAACGGCACAAACGTGGCATGTGCGCACACATGTGTCGTATTGAGGCGGTTGTCGGCCGTTTTATCTCTTTGGTGACTGGCATTGCTAATATTCTTTTTTAAAAGCCGCTCTGAGTGACAGGCGGTCGTCCGGTCGAAACTTGCCTCCTGGAGTACTTGTGGTAATTCCCAACAACGGAGTTACCACAAATATCACGATTTAGGTGTGAGCCCACTCAAACTAGTACGAGCGTAGCACGTGTGCATGTATATGCCCAAATTCGAGAGCCATGCGAACGTTTCATCGCTTTCGGGTCCATACTCATGAATTATGAGGCGCAACTTCAGCTGAATTGCTCAGGGCCAGTAAGAGACCTCCCTGCAGGCTAGATGCAAATCCAGCCAAAGCGCAAACATTGGATGCGTGCACGCATGCGAAAAATGGGGGCATTTTTCGACCATTCGATCGCTTTCTGGAATGGAGTGGTCATGCTTCCATTTTTAAAGTACTCCGAGTGACGGCGGCCGCCTGGTCGACGAGCGCCACATGTCCAGTAACGCACCAGTCCGCAGCCTTAGATGCGATACCGCCCAAACTCATAATAGGAAAGCTTCCGCTCACCCACCCACCATCCTTCTCCCAACCACCGCCCCCTCATTGAGAGAAAAATGTGTCGAGTCCGAGGTAAGACGGTGGTGGTTTGGAAGGGGCGGTAGTATTCAGAATTTGTCGCGGCTCAGCCTCCGAACTGTCGTTCCGGAATTACGCCCCTGCAGATTGTTGGAGAAAGCCGTCTTTCTTTCACCACATCCTGAAATTTCATCACCGCCCTAGCTCTAGCCGGGCTGGATGGAAGCCGTCCCCTCCTCGCCATGCTCGGTATTCTCAGAAGTTTACGGGGAGGCCTTTCCGAGTCCCCGAGGCACCGCCGCCGGCGCACCGCGCACCCGGACGGCACGTTCGGCCAAGGTCACCGCCAGCTGGGCTCGGTCCCACTCGTGCTCGGTGGCTCGCCGCAGGGGCGGCACTTTCAAAGTCGGGTTGGGGAGGGCGCAGCCTATAACATTGACCTGACCTTCCCGAATACCTGACTTCTCCGCGTGGCTGCATGTCGCTCAGACCGCTTTTACAAAGAAAACGTCACAAGTTCAATGCCAAAGTCCAAAGACCCATGAGCACATGCCCATCATTTTTATATGCATGTATATGTGCTAATTTTGTACCAGTTTGGGTGGTCTTGCACCTAACTCGCCGGCAGGTCCGTCGTTGGACTATGGACAAGTATCGTCCGGCCGGTCGCCAGCCACCCAGACCGCTTGTACAATGGCATGTTCAATCACCAAGGTGATAGAATGGTCGATAGATATCTTCATATGTCACATTGGTACACATGTGCCATGTTTGTGCCACTCTGGCCGGTCTGGCATCCCGCCTGAAGGGGAAACCCGTACTGGACTTGAACAATTCAGTCGAAGTGGCGCCTTCTAATGCGTGGCAATAGCCCCGAAAGCGATGAGACGGTCGCTACAGCTCTACTCTTTAAACACACAAACACATGTGCTACGTTTGTAACAGTTTGGGCGGCCCGATTTGCCGGAGGTCCGTTGTTGGACTAGACAGTTATTGCCCTGCAGGGCCGCCAGCCGCTTCTCCGTCTTCTTGAGTGCACCTTGCCGCCACACCGCCGGCCGGGCAGCCGTCCGCCACCTGCTGGTGGCGGGCGGGCCTTAGAAGGCCCATCCCGTCATGACTGCGAAGATGTGGATGCAAATGCCATTAGACAAATAACGCAACAGATGACGTATGAGCTGTTGTTTACCAGTATACGGAAGACAGAATCCAGTTTTCATTGCTATCATCCATTATTTGTTTAGATCAATGCCCTGGACATCTCCGTGCATGCGCGTCACTTTGTGACCAAAACTGTGCCGAAACCTGCGAGTTTTGATACCCCATGCTCTATTGCATTCTCTTGCAGATTACAAATATGAAGAAATGGACACTAGTGCTCTTGGCAATCAGGCTTGCATCTGTTGTCTTAACACAGACATCTTTTGTTCCGGATGAGTACTGGCAGTCTCTGGAGATTGCCCACAAGATAAGCTTTGGGTTCGTATACATAATATTTACGATATGCCGCGGATGCTCAACTTTGTCAGATCAGTGTGTGGTGCCCAGCTTCCTTGTCTGTCACCGGGCATGTGTTATGATCCTTTGCTGAGACCTGAGGGTGCAGCAATTTTCCACATGTGCTGTTGTAAGGCTGTGTTTCTGGTTCTGTTTACCTGCACTATAAAATGTGGTAAGCTTGTTTCGTGCTAAGCAAGTCTCTCCATTAAAACTTGTGGAGAGGCATGACCATAATATTCGTAAGAAAATGGCTTGTTTATTCAATAAAGGTGATTGCATGAATGGTGCGTTGAAAACGTGTGATGCGTTTTCTGAACAAAGGATGACACTTTTATTGCCAGCTGGTTTCTGTTAAAATTTCCGCGTGCTTTCTTACTGATGGGCAGTTTCTGAATCCAGCGGTTAGACAGGTATCATATCGCAATGATATATCTGGATTTCGTGATGCAAGCATTGTTGTCATGACACTGTCATCATCATACTTAGTGCAGCATTTGGCTGTTTGTTGTTTTCTGTGAGTTTTTGCCATGTGCATACATGTCCAGTTTAGATTTCAGCCTGAACACGCCAGGACATAATTATATGACGCCCATCCATACATGCAGCCAGGACGTTGGCATGGAAGGGCACAGTTGACAAAGGGCCCCTGATAGCCAAAGGGGAGAAATAACCTAAAAATCTGCGACAGTAAAGTACCAAAAAAGTCACTGAATAGAGCCATTCGTTTGTGAGGGCATTTGGGCATTGAGGGCTTTTCCTTGATGGTTTTCATATCTGTCTTCTTTGGCTGGAATAGAAGCCAGAAGTTACCGCGAGATCAATTCTGTCGAGTCTGTAGACAGTTCACTGAAGAAAGCATGCGCTGAACGCTGCATGACACATGTCACGGGCGCTCCCCATTTTACGGCCCGAGTGCAATCGGGTCCTCGATCGTTGGCTCCGAGGGGCTCTCCGACCCTCTTCGGACCTCCTCATACAAAGCACATGATCGACTAGGGGTCACTAGCCGTAACATGAGCTCCTGTTATGCATCATGGGCCCCTGATCGACGCAATGGCTCCAACCCCCGTGCCCCCCGGCCTTGGCCCTGACGGAGCGAACGGGCCTCATCGAGCATTGCTGTTAGTCGGATCGGATTCCCTTGTAAGCACAGGGTCCTCTGTTAGGTGCTGTGGGCCCCAGACAGATACACGGGCCCTGACTGGCGTAAATTTCTGGCTCCAGCCTTGTAGCTGATTGGAAATGGGCCCTCGGGCCTATACCAATACGAGCGGACTGTGCGGTTCCGGTGGTGTCTGACCGAAATATAGACCCATAGCGACTCGGTATCCATGATTGGCACACAGGACCCGCGTGGTGGTCATTTGAGGATCCGTTTCCGTAGGCCGGAGCCCCTGAATAAGATCCCGACCAGGCTTTCGTGCCCTTACGGTCCAATCGAGCCCTTGATCGCCGGACCTGGTGGGCCCTCCAGGCTCTTTGGGCCTTCTCGAACACTGCCTGTGGCCGACTTGGTGCCCCTTGCCAGTACAAGGCGCATTAGGCGCTGTGGGCCCGACGAATGTAAATCAGTGGCTCCGGCTTTGCCGCTGCTCGGGAAATAAGCTCTCAGGTCCACGCCGCCACGGAGTCGGATGTGCGTTACTGGCGGTGTCTGAGGACATATCGGCCCTCATCGATTTAGGGGCCCCTGATCAGACGCAGGGCTCTCTGGGTGGTATTTGAGTGCCCAGCCCTGCGGGCCGGGGCTCCTGAATACGACATCTGGCCGGCGTTTCGGGCTCTTAATCGTATGTCTTGAGGGATCCTCCAGACCCCTTGGAATCTAAGGGCGGCACGTTCCCCCTGTGTGCCCCATTCCCCTCTGCCTGCGCTACTGAGTCCATGAAACCACAGTGACCTATTGCTCCAGTTCCAACACCTAGGTGCGTATTACCATGTAGACAGTTGGGAGTCGGGAAGTGGATTCAGGGGACTATTCTTTAGTATTTACCAGATTGGCAAGCCTGATCAGGGACTTATCACTAAAGGGGCAGGCCATTCATTCAATCACTCTGTCTGTCTGTTCATCAGCTCTAACAGCAGGCCATGTTAGATGCGTGAGCTTCTTTCACATTGGTATGCTGTGATGTCCTGCTACTAGGCTGCTTGGCTTTAGGCACTGACTGGTCTGCAGACACTTCCTGTTTGTTTGGTACACTGTAATGTATTCAGAGCAATTTCGTTCTCAAACATCAAGCTTATTTGCAAATATTACTTAGCTTTTGCTTATATGTGGCTTGCATGGTTGTGGAAGATTTGAGATTTGATGACATTCCTCATGGTGTTTCGGGTTCTGATATTAGCATGCAACTGGCCATACAACAAATACAGTGTGTGCCATGTTTTAAACAGTGCTTACACATCATCAGCCTGCCCCACGTTTTCAGGTATGGCTACAGTACATGGGAGTGGAGAGAGGGGATTCGAAGCTACCTTCTACCACTGTTGATTGGAGGACTGTACAAGATTTTACAAATATTGAACATGGACAGTAGAGAAATGTTGGTATGGGTACAGAGCTGTCACGCCACTCCGGTTAATGGGTGTGGAATGAAATGTGTCTGTATTCTGGGACCATGGATTGGCTATGCTGGATGGGACACTGCACCGACTTACTATTGCCCCCGGGGGCCCCCGACGTACCCGTCATCTGGTGCCGGGAGTGTAGTAAGGAAACATAACTGCCAGCCATACAGCGGTCTATGCGTACTTCGGCGCCGGGTTTCTCGCTTTGCACCAAAGATAAGGCATTTGATGTTTTGTTATCCATAGTCAGACCAACAAGGCAAATGTGTGCGCCAGACCTTCAGTGTTTCTTGTCGACTGTGCAATGGACGTCAGTAATAAAGCATGCACTCGGCCTGGCTACTAGAGCGGCTGGTGGCCGTCCGGCTCGTCGTATGGCCTGCTCGCTCGTCGTATTCACTGTGACGGCGCCGTCCGTCGGCCGGCCCCAGGTTTACAGTCCGCGCCTGCTGGTGGCGCTGCTCACCTGGGCCGGCGACGTGGCGCTGGTGGAGGCGGCCCGCCGGCTGTGGGGCTCACACACGGCTGGCCACACGGCCTGGAGTCTGGCCACTTCCTGGTGCCTCTTCTACTGCGGCTCCCGGACCCTGGCGAACACCGTGGAGATGGCGCTGCTGGCCATGGCGCTCCGCCGGTACCCGTGGAGACCGTGGCTGGGTGAGCAGGCTGGCAGTGGGGGACATCCGAGGTCTGCACTGTTAGAGACTATATATTCTGTAGTAACATATTTATTCGTGGTCGCTTGCGGGGGTTCCAACATTCGCATCATACTTGAGTGCAACACATTCGCGCCACGCACGCACACTCGCACGCATTTCATAGGCGTGATGTTCAGTAGTTCAGATGCGACCAGCTGTCATGACCACAGCTTGTCAGCCTGTGATTTTCCAGCAAATAGTATGTGGTGGTTGTAGGCCGGACGAAGCCCTCGCCAGGTGACCCTGCATGTGGTCCGTCAGGCGACCCAGGGCGCGGTTACCTATGGATGGGGACCTGCCGTGACCCTGACCCCGCCAGTCTCGTTCGTCAGGTGACCCAGTGCGCGGCTACCTATGGATGGGGACCTGCCGTGACCCTGACCCCGCCAGTCTCGTTCGTCAGGCGACCCAGTGCGCGGCTACCTCTGGCTAGGGGCACTGGCGGCCGTGCTGCGACCGACCGCAGCACTCACCTGGCTGCCGCTGTGGCTGGCCGACTTCAGCTACACGAGCAACAAGTGCGCGCTGCTCTTGACCTCGTCCGCCGCCGGGTGAGAGGTGTCTCTGACGACGTTCGTCAGGTGATGCGGCCACGCCCGCCCCCGCCCTCCGCTGACCACCACCTGACCTCCGATCTAGCCCGTTTGAAGCTGTTTACATGGCTCGGCGTGGTGAGTGATGAGCATCTGAGCATTAGGCATGGTAGTATCCAACTTGTTTTGTTTTGCATCTGCCACCATGAATTTCGATGTTGTCTGCTTGTCCTATTTTCCCCGTAGTTTAAGTGGTCCACGGTCGTTTGCCTGGTGGTGGCGATCCGCGCCGATCCATGTCGTGGTGATGGCGTTCGGGTTGTGCTCGTGCTCCGTGCTGACGGTATTGTGCTCTCTGCGATCTTCCTAGTGCCAGTTTTGTGCTGGTTTCTCCCTGTGACGTTGCTCTAAGCTCATCCTCTACCATGCTAATGTGCGCTCGTCGTCTCCGGTAACTGTGCTCTGTTCTGGCGCTTCTGGTGGCAGTGTTGTTGTCGACTTCCCCAGACTGGCGGCGGCGGCAGCGTGCCTGCTGGTTGACTCCCTGGGCCACGGCGCGCCGCTCTTCAGCCCGATCACCTTCGTTCGCTGGAACGTGCTGGGCGGCGTGGCCTCCCACTACGGCACGTCACCGTGGCACGCGCACCTGACGGCCAGCCTGCCGACCCTGCTGGGTTTGCACGCGGTGCCGGCGCTGCTGGCGGCGCGCCGGCCCGGCCGGACCGAGGGCGTCTGCCTGGCGGCACTGCTCTGGCTGGTGACCGTGTACAGGTAACGCGACGCGGTTTGGCGCCCCTCCTGACCTTACCTACGACGCGCTTTTCGGTGACGTGTCGTTTGGACGCGCTTCAGTGTTTCACGCGTTTTCAGGTGCGCTGGCCGTCTTGTGGTTAATCATCTCAGTCATTGATATTTGCTTTGGACATCCATCGAGATCAGGGCCTCTGTAATTCTGAAGTGGCTGGTGATTCGGTCCTTCTTTGCTGTGCCCTTATACACTGTGCAGAGGAAGCCTTGCCCCCAAAGCTGAACCATGCATTATGTCTCTGACGCCATTTTTAAGTGGTGTGTTTTACCCATCATGCGTCATTTGCGACGCGCAGCCCATCTGTGTGCAAGAGATGTATTGTATTACGCTGGGCTGCGAGCCCATCTCTGGCAAGTGTAGGTTATCGCGTACCGACCCGGATTCTCGTAGCAGACCGTCGCTGCCATCCATCCCATTGTCGTGCCCAGGGCTTTCTGAGCTTTTCCGTGCACTGATCTGTGTGACGCATGGTTTCAGCGCCCTACCACACAAGGAGTTTCGGTTTCTGTTGCCAGCCTGGCCGTTCTGCGCGTTACTTGCTGGCAAAGGCTTCTCCTGGCTCAGTCGAACCAACAGGAGGTAACCAGGCTGATAACTGCACGCAGATGTACACAACACAAGCTGTCAAAATTGTCAACGATAGTAGCCGAGTATCGGTGATATTTTTCTGGCAATGACGAGTGTTCCCCGCAAACATTATTTAAAGAAGCAGTTATGTTCACTAATACTGTAATTATATTAGTGTTAAATTCGAGGATAACAACCATTCGGGTTGAAGCATTTGTCTTTGTTTCAGGGTTGTGGAGCACATTTTTACAACCTTCGAGCGCCAAATGATTTGGGGTATGGGATGGGTGTTTGACTTGCCACAAATGTACTCTGCCATGATGACGAGCCGAATACCACTTTTGACTCATCCAGTGGTCTGGGCAGGGGGGCTGTAAGCACAGCCTGTCCGGCGTGACCAACCATTCTGGCGTCATCCACTCGGGCCACTTCGTGACTTAATGCAGACGCCTCTTTTTGAGGGAGTCGTACGAGTATAATGAGTAAAGTCCAGCTCATCCATATGTGCCGCGCCAACGGCTGTGGACCATGTCTGCTGTTCTCCAAGCTGGCCAATCCCAGACCTGGCGCTGACCAAGACGCTATCACTCGATGGGGCTCGAAAGGGCTGTTTTACCTGTGGTCTCGCCTGCTGATTGTTTTTGCACTTGCAAATTCTAGTGGTGTTCCCTTGACTGAATAAAAGACTTAAAAACAAGTCGATTCATTAGCAACTAATGAAGGAAGTCTGGGATACTAAATGCTAAGATTTTGTACTGTCATATGTTTTTGCAGGTAGTTTCAAATTACAGTTTAGCATGTGACCGTGTCATTAATTTTACCTGGGAATACAACTTACAGTTCATGTAGCCACAAGCCCAGGGCACAAGGTTCCATAATCCAGGTTCCACTGGTGAACATAAGTCTTTTGTGGCTCTGCGATTGTGTGTGTAAGGCAATTGCTGTTGGTGACCTACATTTTTCTAAGAGTGCGTAACCACGGCAATTTTTTCAGGTGCTGTTCAGGTCTGAAGCTGTTGATTTTGCTCACAAACGTCGCTGCCGCCCTCTACCTGGGGCTCGTTCATCAACGTGGCCCGCTAGATGTCACTAGTCAACTGGTGACAAGGTTGCACGACGGCCCGTTGGATAAGGCGTCCATTCTTTACCTGATGCCGTGTCACAGCACACCTTTGTACAGGTAAATGAGTGCCTGTGGTGGGGTTAGGTGGATGGTTACCAGCATGCGCTTCGCATAATCGTTTCTTTACGTACGGGCATTGACTTAACATCAGAAGACATTGGAGGCTGACCTTCATGGGAGCGCCTCATCTGTGTGGAGTGGTTGGCCCGGGGGACCGAGCGCGCCCCGCCCTGCTGTGAGTTGCCGATTGCTGTGTGCTGGCCAGTGTCGGACCCTGAATCCCGGACTGATTCGGTGTACGTGGCGTCTCGTCGGCAGTCACCTGCACCTGAACGTGACGACCCGCTTCCTGACGTGTGAGCCGAACCTTGCGGCCGCCGCCAACTACGTGGACGAGGCTGACCAGTTCTACAGCGGGCCGCTGCGCTGGCTGCGGCACGAGTACCCGTCCCTGCTGGCGCAGCCGGCCGCCGAGCCAGCCGGCCGCCGGCTACCCAGCCACATAATCCTCTTCGACGGGCTGTGGCGGACGCTGGCGGCGGAGGTGCGCGGCTTTACCGTCTGTGCGAGCGTCTTCCACGCGCACGCCTCCGACGAGAGGCGCGGCGGACGGATCCTGGTGCTCTGCAGGGACGGCTGGGCCGGGGATTAGGCCGCCGGGTTTGTACCATTCGTGCGGCCACGCTCCGTACCTTCGGGGATACACCGCGACTGGATGGGTGGAACTGAGCACGAGCTTCAGTTATTATGCTCTATGCTGCTAGAGGGACATTATGTGATGTGGGACGGAAAGAGCGAAGATGTGATCTCATGTTTGATAATGTTATGGTTTGTGACGCGTAGTTTGTCAAGTGTTTGACATGCCTTACGGGTACAAATACAGTGCTGTAACATTTGCTCGGATATTGTCCGCCACTCAAAAGTGTGGACAACGAGAGATTTGGGGGGAAAATCGGCCGGACGACAAGAGGTTTTGTTGAAAACTAAAAAGGTGCAATTGCTTCAGCGTGGCAGTGTTTTCGCTTTTAGGGTTGTGCTCTTGACCAAACGGCGCCTTGAGCACCCGCGTCATCCTGAAGGTGCAGTCCGTAGGTGCAGCCAACAAGAAGCGTCATCGTATGAATGCAAAATTGGCCAGCAATCATGTTGACTAGCTCACATAAATCTCATCTCTCCGCCATTTGTTGATGGTGGGCTGTGTAGCACGGTGGAGCGGATGGCGAGGAGCCTTGCAAAATAAACTGACAGACTGTAACTCATTAAAACAGGATCTTGTTTGCACTGACACGCGAGCCCATTCTCTCTCATCAAGCAAAGTGAACGCATGCCCTGCACGCAGAGACACAGGCAGGAGGAATCGGGGGTACGTGCCTCCGTGGCTTCAGAGGGGGCCACGACTAGAGCGCCTGTTTAAGGGGCCCGAAAGGCCGGCCGGAGGTCGCATTCAGGGGCCCCGGCCCGCAGGGCCGGACACTCAAATGCCAGCAGCAGGAAGGCCCTGCGCGCTGATGGGGGGGGGGGGGGCTCCTGAGAAGGTAAGGGCCTACATGTCAGTCAGGCACCGCCAGTTACCGCACTGCCGACTCCGTGTCGGTGCGGGCCTGAGGGCTCACTTCCTTATCTGCTACAAAGCCGCGATTGCGCGATTTAAGCCGCGAGCCATGCGATTTATACTGGTCGGGGCCGCTGTATCTTTCAGAGGCCGACTGCCTAACGCGAACTCCTGTGTGCGCATTGAGCCCCAAGCTGGCCAAGGGCAGTGTTTGATGAGGCCCGAAAAGGGTCTCGGGCGGCCCACCGGAACCAACAATCGATGGGCCGGTTGGAGGGCATAAGGGCCCGAAAGGTTGGCTGTTTGTCGCAATGAATCGCATTTTACAATGGTTTAGAGGACTCTTTCTAGACCGATAAAGCTGAAGGCTTTGCTAGAATCTTCATGTTTGCTACACAAAGAGCTTAAGGAACCTGCGAACATAGATCGAAATGGGTCAACAGTTTGTATTAACATGACCAAGTCATGTTTGCCTGGTCATGTTCAACATTCAGCCTGACTCTATCAATGGTACATCCCCAATAACGTAATTTTGAACATGAGCGTTCGCAAATCTTAGCAACCAAAAACCTCAATGTCACACATTGCAGTCTCTGTTATGCACTCGGGGTCGACCCAGTAGCTATCACTAAGCCGTTGCCAAAGGGTGGGCAAAAATAATACCTTTGAAAGAAAGGACTTTTGGTGCTTTAGGGCATCGAAGGACATTTAGAAAGTAGTCCGGGTGTACATTTTACCTGGGCGATTTTTAGGTTGATGATAGGAACGGATTGGCATTTACAGTTCTGCGGAGTAGTACTGGAATCTGATGGTAGAACTGAAAGAGTAAATGTAGAATCATTATTTTTGGTGTTGATGTTATTGTTAGCCTTTCCACAGGATACCACAAAGACTTTAAAAATATGAAATACCATAAATACTTTTCGTGGGGCATCTAAAGCTGTAATCTCGGGAGGTCATCGAATACCCTGTTGGCAATCAATTCTGATACTCATAAGTCATGATGCCGAAAAAGCGGCACAAAGTGATGTGTGGACAATGTCTTCCTAATTTGTTCGAATCTGTGTAACATAAAAGTTGAATATCTAGCTACAAAAATTAGGTTACCAATCCTGGGGCGAGAGCATGTGAAAAGGCATAGTGGCATTGCGTGGGTATGACACGTTTCCAGGAAGACATAAAATGACGACTTTGATGATACCAATCGCATTATCGGGGAATGCCTGCGTCTAAAGATAAACTCATAAGTATCTACAATAGTTTCTTTCAGTCTAGCATATTATTTTTATGAAATTCAGCACAAAACTCTGTGTTTCAAAATCCCAATCGCCACGATAACAAAATCACTACGACTCTGCAACTGTCTGAGAAACGTCTGGTGAGGGATGTGCACGTGAGTGGCTCACGGGTTTCGGTGGAGTATCGTAAGCTGTGACCTCTGAAAGTCACTAAACAACCATATCGGCATTCGACACTACCGATCGTAACACATTACGCTCGATAAGCAGGGTGGACTGGCATGTTAAAGCCTACCTAGACATACCTTAATGGAATCTGCGTACCAATGGCATTCAAATTTTAGTGCGAGAAAGGTGATTGTGTCATTATGCGCGGCGAATAGAATACGAAATTCCTTCACACTCGTGCCAGTTTTGCTCCCAGACCTCTATATCTGCACCAGCATGCGCACTGCGCTGAGGGCGGCGCCGTCAGCCCCGCTGAGCTCAGGCCGCCATCTCCATGTGCGGGGGCCTTCTGCGGTAGGGTGCGCGCGCTGCGCTGCCGCCGGGTCGCCATTGGATGTTTGCGCGCCGCCAGCTGCCGCTGCCACACCTCCCCATAGGCGCTAATTTATACTGAGGAGCCCACTGGTCACCAAAAGATGTTAGCGCACGAATCGGCGCGTTCTGACTCCGGTACACCGGACATGAACACGCACTCGTGTGAACCATAGAGCTAGGATGAAGCGGGTGACCTGGACATTGGCGGGATGGTAGGTCCGGTCAGGCATCATGGCATCATGAACGGCTGTCTCTCCGTACATGGCTGTGCGCCCTTATCTACGGTACCCTACCTCCATCTCTTAATTGGTGATGATATTTAGGCGGGGCAAAAACTGGACCAGACACACTGAAAATACGCCCAAATCGGCAGGAATCTCACTCTACCGGCAATTATATTGGCAAGGGCCCGCTGGATAACAACCCTGGAAGCCTCCCACCCCCTCCCCCTCGGCCTAAACTACTCCACAATGATTTCATGCATTCGGCGTCCTACCAGACTCACTGCAAGCATACGCATTCGCTGGCGCCCACGTCAACCCACTCATTCTTGGCTTGCACACGGATGGGACCCCTCCCACTTTCAAGCGCCTTGGCGTTATAATTGATCCGTCTGCGCGAGTCCTCATTCAGCTAAGTTAAATTTATTTAACAAGTTAATTTATCAGCTTGGCACCAACGCAGCTACTGGGCCAGCATCAGGTATCCGAAGCATGATGACGACTCGCTCCCTCGCCTGACCTCCAGGGTGAGGGCTCCCTATTCGGACAACGCTCCACGCATCCCTTCCGCGGTGGGACGGCCCACCATGGCCACCTCGACGGCGACGGTGGGGCGGCCCACTTCGGCCACGCCCACCGCTCGCAGCTTTCCGATGCCGCGCACGCATCTTAGGACTCGCCTCGTCCAGCACGGAGGCGTCGCCTCCGGTGCTTTTGCGCCCTCGCCTCCCGCCAACCGGAGTGAGTTTTGCTTGCCACTGCCCCACGGCGCACCGCTTAGAGGCCTGGAGGCAGACAGCGGGCCTCATGGGACGGTGAAGCCCTCGGCAGACATGAGCGCTCGGCGTAACCTGCCTTCACGCCTTACGGTCTCCACGGCCGGTGTGCTCTAAAGACAGTCTGGCTTGCCTGTCCGGCGACCCGGTCCCTTGTCGCCCTCCCTTTAAGGGTCGACGGTGGGATCTCTATTCTTCCCGACTATTCCGCCATCTAGAGCTCATAAGACCTGGAATACACCACGTCGGAAGGAAACGGGCCGCGTTCTATTCTCTCCCAAGGCATTGTACCCAAACGGATAGACCGAGCTACCGTTGTTCATAATCCGGCATACCGGGCGGTCCCCACTGGTTCTTGGTTATCACGCTTGAGGTCAAGTGAGAGACAATGGAGCTAGTCGACAGTCTCTTAGCTCGAAAAAGAGCGAAACTGCCTTCAAGTCACCCTTCTCACGAACGCATATCTGGGTAAGAGCAGGACTGCGGTCTTCTGACTCCTCAATCCCGGCCACAGCCGAGCCATTCCGCTCGGTCGCGTTCCACGCGTATTATCCTTCGGTTACGATCCCTGTGAGGCTCGATCTTCGGGAAAGGACGGCATACTGCGTACCGGTCGAAAATCTGGCAGTCCGGCGAGAGTTCATCCCGTCGATTCCAAGGCAGCTACTCCGCGTAGCCGCTCGTTCTGTCAGACTTTGATACCGGCTGTGGTATGCTATGAGTGTTGTGGCGCCGCGCGCCCTGAGGTGCGCCCCGCGGAAAATGTCAGCGTTTGCCCCTTGTCATCATAAGTTCGAACGATCGACCGGCCAGCTGAGGCCCGTGGTCACCGATAAGTTCGGCTCCGCCCTGGATTCGAACGCCAGGCCATCCGTTTAACTACAACGCCCGCGTGCTGTGTCGCGCCCCCAGCGGGCAAACGATGGTCGCACACACGTCTGCCACACCGCGTATACCTTGTAAGTCGCGTCGCGGTCATGCCCGGGGGACGATTGGCTAGATGCAGGGGGGGGGGGGGGAGCTGCTGGGTCGGCACTGACGACCTAGCCGGCACTCCTTTGGATTTCATGCCAAACAGAAAAGCTAACCCAAGCAAACCAAAAAACGATACAAACCAACCCCCAACCTGCCAAAAAACAAAACTCTGCGATAGGAAGCATCGTCGCGACGAATCGATTCGTCTCATGCCCCGACCCACGCGCGTCCTTGGTCTCACGTCCGTACGTGGCTTTAGTGGGCCCGAATTCCACGCGCTCGGTGTGTAGTGCGATCCTGCAGCTTCCCGGCGGGTCGCGAGCGCTGGACTCCCTCGTCCATCCACACGGTAAGGTGCTGTCCTCTGCCGGCGGGTCGCGGGTGCCCGCGTCGCACTGGCGCGCCGTCGGGTGCGCCGCGATCTCTGCTGCGATTACCGATGTCGGCGGGTGGATGGCGTCCGCGTCTCCTTCCCAGCGCTATCCCGACCGGAGCCTCGCGAGTGACCTCCTCTGGCCTCGTGGAGTCGTGGACGGTCTCTCGAGGTCTCTCGAGACGTAGCGGCGTCGGTGCAACTCGTTGCGTTGCCCCGACACCCACAGCAGGCGATCTCCCTCCGACCTCTGGCTGACGGCCGGGAGATCCCGTCCGCTTCGGAAAGTTCGGCGCCGTGCTCTCCTGCACCAAGCCTGCGGTGTCCGTAGCGGATTCCTCGAGGACGAGAGGGGCGCTCACCAACCGAACATGGACGCCACGCGTCGATATGTCACCAACCGAACATGGACGCCACGCGTCGATATGTCAGCAACCGAGCTGGGCCGAGCAACACAAAGGAAAACATATCGAAAGGTCCAAGGAACAAAAGGAAAGATAGGGAAATGGCCGAGCGACACGCGCTCTTTAAAGGATATGACCCCC